CAGGTTGAGTATCCCCATCCCTTATATGAAATGCTTGAGACAAGAAGTGTTTCAAATTTTGGCTCTTTTCAGATTTTGGAATTCTTGCATATACATAATGAGATTTGAGGGTGAGACCCAAGCCCAAATACCAGATTCATTTATGTTTCAAATACATCTTATACACATAGTATGAAGGTAATTTTATACAATATTTTAATAATTTTGTATGAGAAACAAAGTTTTGACTGTGACCTATCACATGAGGTCAGGTATGGAATTTTCTACTTGAGACATCATGTCGATGCTTCAGAAGTTTCAGAATTTGGAGCATTTTGAATACTGAGTTTTCAGATTAGGGATGTGAAACTTGTATTACCTATGCATACAGTAAATCTTTAAGGATAAACAAACTACATTTTTAACAGCGGCCCTATAGGGAGAGGAACAATAGAAGAGAAATATTTTTCACACACTTTTGTTTTTTGAAAGTTTTATGGTCATTATATTTACTTCTGTAATTTAGAAAAACAGGTATAGCTTCTGCCATTGAAAACATAAATTGATATAAATTAGACGTAAATATTTAAGGGAAAGTAGAAATGGTTCATAGATGAACAAAAGCAAGGAGACCACAAGAATTCAATGCATTGCTAACAGCCTCCCCCTTCCACAGAAGTGGGCTAGAATGAGGGGCTGATGCATCCGGTGTAGGGTGGAGTGCTGACGGTGAGGGCGGCTAGACAGGATGTCTCGGTGGAAGGCCAGCAAAAAATAGGAGGCCCGTCCTTGCCAATTCACAAAGATGTTACACACTAAGAGATTGGGAAGCATTTCCTGGGATAATCAATCTAAAAGCAATCAGGTGCTCTTACCACACACAGGAGGTGACCATGTGAGGAAATGGATATGTTAATTTGCTTGACCATAAATCACTTCACTATGTACATGTGTATCAAAACATTATGAAGTACACCTTAAATATCTACAATTAAAAAGAAACTAAAAGCAGTGTTTAGCATGATGCTGGGATTGTGTGGGGGTGTGGAGGGGAGAAGCAATCAAGAGTTGGCTACCGCTGTCTGTATCAAAATACAAAACGTTACCTTCTCTTTAATAACCCAAGCCACACCGAACATGTAAAACAAAACAAAGCAACATAAAACCAAAACTCTGGTGATTACTGACTGTGTGCCTGATATGTGCTAATCACTGTGCTGGATTGTTGGGGCTGCATAATTCATACCCTTCTATCTTGTTACCTCATATTGACTGAGCTTCTATGTTACTAGTTAATTACAGTGTCTTTGGCAGTGATGTTGATAGTCTGGTGCAAAGCAAAGATCTTGTTATAAGAGTGAACTTTAGATTTCATTTCAGAAGCTTTCAAATAAGTGTCATTGAATACACTTATCAATGTAACAGGAATCATATTGGATGTGAGTCTGGAGCCCTACTTGGTGTTTCTATAATAGCCTAGAACTCAATACATTGTTGTGCAATTACCAGTTTACATGACTGTCTTCCTCCCGAGTCTGGATTTTCTGGGCAAGGAAAAGTGCCTTTGAATTCTCAATGCCTAGCACTGTGTCTGGCATACAATAGGTGCTCAGTTAAAGAAATACATTAAAGTTGTAACTCAAAAGAAATCTCAAATGCTTTGGTGAGGCTATCTCATGTCAACAAACTTTTTTTTTTTTTTTTTTTTGAGCTAGAGATGAAGTCTCACTCTGTTGCCCAGGCTGAAGTTCAATCATAGCTCATTCACTGTATCCTCCACCTCCTGGGCTCAAGCAATCCTCCAGTCTCAGCCTCCTGAGTAGCTGGTACTACAGGTATGCACCACTATGCCTTGCCCACAATCATTTTTTAAAAGTCTTATGCAAGGCTCATTACCAACAAGGACCAAGCCAGATTCTGAGGGTGGAGATCTTGGGTTTTCTTTTTGATACTAGTGCCTAACAACTTGCCTGGCACATAGCAGGCCTAAGATAAAGATTTGCAGGCATGAATGGAAAGTTACAGTTCCTCTCCATAAGTAAAGGCACTCACACTCATTAAGAGAAGACTGTATTCCTGGTCCTAAACCTTATCTACTTGCCACCAGCCAGTCATTTAAAATGGGTGACCTGGGTCACAAGAGGAAGTAATTCAGCACCAGTGTGTTACAGCCATTAGATTCAAAGACTAAAATGACAGGGCTCTTTGTGGTGGATCGCTGCACTGACTTTGCAAACAGTAGATTACTTGCTCAACTGATGCACCCATCCAATAGCAGTCCTAAGCATGATTATCTGCAACGTGGAGAATGAAGAGCCTGTGATGCAGCTGAAAAAGAGTAGTATACAAGAAAAAGCACCCTAAGGCAAAATTGTGGCACTTTCCCCATTTGCCTCCAACCTTCTTTCCGCAGTCTTGCTCCTCCTTGGAGTACATCCTGCCCTTCACCCTCAGTCTTAGATACTGACTCTTCTTACATGGCCTCCACTTGGAAGAAAAGTGGGTGCTATAAGAGCAAATATGACAAGATTCTAGCATTGTGCTGTCTGTGTGTGGCTACTTGCATTTATATTTAAAGCAATTAAAATTAAATAGAATTCTTATGCCTGTAATCCCAGCACTTTGGGAGGCCGAGGCAGGTGGATCACGAGGTCAGGAGACCGAGACCATCCTGGCTAACACGGTGAAATCCCGTCTCTACTAAAATTACAAAAAATTAGCCAGGTGTGGTGGCATGCACCTGTAATCCCAGCTACTTGGGAGGCTGAGGCAGGAGAATTGCTTGAACCCGGGAGGCAGGGGTTTCAGTGAGCTAAGATCGCACCACTGCACTCCAGCCTGGGCAACAGAGCAAGACTCCATCTCAAAAATAAATAAATAAATAAATAGAATTTTAAAACCTGATTCCCAAGTCTCACTAGCTATATTTCAAGTGTTCAGTACCCACATGTGGCTAGTGACTGGTGCTAGTGTATTAAAGCAGCTCTAGAACATTCCCATCATTGTAGAATCCAGCACCTCAGTGAGCATCCCTGTAATATTCTACCCAGTTGAGTAGTACACTTGTTGAAATGTGCAAATGAATAAATGAATTTAATTTAATATGGTAGAATCGACACTAGTGAGAGAGAGCCAAGAAATTTTCAGAATCCCAACCTTTGTGATTGGCTTTATAAACCCATACTTTAAAACACTGAATTGGAAAAGACTACTCACCTTTTTTCACAAGATTTTGTGGGAGGATTAAATAAACATTTTGTTGATTTACAAAGAGTTGGTTATATTCTTTTTTTTTTTTTTTTCCATGAGGCATTTTATTTGTAAATGTATGTATTACATCCCTAGAAAAAGAATCCCAGGATTTTCCCTCCTGTGTGTTTTCGTCTTGCTTCTTCATGGTCCATGACGCCAGCTGAGGTTGTCAGTACAATGAAACCAAACTGGCGGGATGGAAGCAGGTTATTCTGCCATTTTTCTAGATCTTTGAGTTGCACATCAAATCTGGGGCTGATCACTCCACACTTGTTTAGCCTGCCTGTAAGGTTCACAACAATTTTCCCAGCTCTGTGATCATCAATGATTTCAAATTCGCCAATGTAACCATGCTTCATCATCACAGTGAGAAACCGGACGATGACTTTGGAGCACGGCCTAATAAGCACCTGGCGTTTGCCTCTCTTTTTGGCATTGTTGATGCTCTTGAGAGCGTCAGCCAGGACATTCATGCGCACCATTGTGGCGGCGCGGAAAGATGGCGGAAAGGGGAGTTGGTTATATTCTAAGGAAAGTTAATTCCATGAGTTTGTGCCAATATATTTTATTTAAAAGAATTGTCCTTAGAATCTGGATTAACATTTTATGTCCAGTATTCTAACAAAACAGTTACATGCAAATACATGTCTTTAAGTTTCAAAAGCAATTGCAACAAAAACAAAAATTGCCAAGTGGGACCTAATTAAACTAAAGAGCTTCTACACAGCCAAAGAAACTATCAAGAAAGTAAACACACAGCCTACAAAATGGGAGAAAATATTTGCAAACTATGCCCCTGACAAAGGTCTAATATCCAGAATCTATAAGGAACTTAACAAGCAAAAACCAAATAACCCTATTAAAAAGTAGGCAAAATGCATGAACAGACACTTCTCAAAAGAAGACATACAAGAGGCCAAAAAGCATGTCAAAAAGAGCTCTACATCACTAATCATCAGATAAATGCCAATCAAAACCACGATGAGATATCATCTCACACCAGTCAGAATGGCTATTATTAAAAAGTCAAAAAATAAGAGATATTGGAGAAAAAGGAGCACTTATGCACTGTTGGTGGAAATGTAAGTTAGTTCAGTCACTGTGAAAAGAAATTTGGAGTTTTCTCAAAGAACTAAAAATAGAACTATCATGCGACCCAGCAATCTCATTATTAGGTATATACCCAAAGGAATATAAATTGTTCTACCAGAAAGCCACATGCACTCATATGTTCATCACAGCACTACTCACAATAGCAAACATGTGGAATCAACATAGGTGCCCATCAAAGGTGGATTAGATAAAGAAAATGTGGTACGGATATACCACGGAATACTATGCAGCCATAAAAAAGAACGAAATCATGTTCTTTGCAGCAACATGGACGCAGCTCGAGGCTATTATCCTAAGTGAATCAATGCAGAAACAGAAAACCAAATACCACAAGTTCCCACTTATAAGTGAGAGCTAAGCATGGGGTACATATGGATATAAAGATGAAAATAATAGACACTAAGCACTACTAAAGGGGGAGGTAAGGAGTAGGCAAGAGTTGAAAACCTACCTATTGGGTACTATGTTCACTACCTGGGTGACAGGATCATTCATACCCCAAACCTCAGCATCATGCAACATATCCATGTAACAAATCTGCACATGTACCCCTGAATCTAAAATAAAAGTTGGCTTTTTTTTTTTTAAAATGCATGCCTTAGCCACAAGTTTCTTGGACCTTCTTCTAAAGGTTTTTATATAAGGAAAGTACTCACCCTTTTTCCTCCAGAAAGGCTCTTTATAATAAACTATACACTTGATGACTGAACCCAAAGGCACACGAGTGATCATCTGGTTTCTCATCATCGGCAGAGGGGGATTGAAGTGAATCTTCATGCCCAGAGTAGGAGGAATAGCACTAATCACATATTTAGCCTGAAAGAAAAGCAGCACGGTTAAACGTTGTTGCCCTGTGTCTTTTGTTTTTTCCCAATGATTCCCTCTCATTCTACCGTTGTCCCTTTTCAGTCTCTTAAAGAAGTGACAAGGATTTTGTTGAAACCTAAAGTAGCCTTTATTGTTCCTTAGTTCAAAACCGCCAGTGACTTTCCATTGCACTTAAGAGTCAAAGCCAAGTTTCTCACCATCATCACCAAGGCCACACGTGAAATGGGCCCATTAAATCACTGATCTCACCTCCTGTTACTTTTGCCCTCACTCCTCTTACTTCTGCCATTTTTCTTTTTCTTTTCTTTCTTTTTTTTTTTTTTTTTGAGACCGAGTCTCACTCTGTCACCAGACTGGAGTGCAGTGGCGTGATCTTGGCTCACTGAAACCTCCGTGACCCAGGTTCAAGCGATTCTCCTGTCTCAGCCTCCGGAGTAGCAGGGACTACAGGTGTGGGCCACCACGCCCAGCTAATTTTTGTATTTTTAGTAAAGACAGGGTTTCACCACGTTGGCCAGGATGGTCTCGATCTCTTGACCTTGTGATCTTCCCACCTTGGCCTCCCAAAGTGCTGGGATTAGAGGCGTGAGCCACCGCGCCCGCCCTGCCTGCCGTTTTGATCACCTTGCTGTTCCTTGGTCACACCAGGCTTGCTCCCACTTCAGGGCCTTGGCACTGGCTGTTCCATCTTCTTCTCTCAGGGAGCCACATGGCTCAATCCCTTGTCCCCTCCAATTCTCTATCAGATATCACCTTCTCAGTGAGGCCTTCCCTGAGGACATTATTTAAACTTGCATAACCAATTCTCCCATACCACTTTCTGGTATGGCCTCTCCCCACCTCGCTGCTTGATTTTTTCCACACTAATTATCACTCTCTGACATACTTTATATTTTAACTATATGTTTCTTTACGGTCTTTCTCCTTCACTAGAAGGAGAATTGTATGTGGGCAGAGAATTGTATCTGTTTTGTTCACGACTGTGTTCCTAACTCCTAGAATAATGTCAGACGCATAGGAGGTGCTTGATATTTACCAAATAAATATTTTCTGTGTTTTTCTAATTACATAAAAGCAAAATACAGAGGGTTGATAATACCGTTATATGTTTTTATAAATCCTCCCCCACCCCAAATAGTCTGGTTCTCTTTTCCTTTTTTTCAGTTAGAGGTAGCTTTTTCACTTTTGGCAAAAAGACTGTCTATAAAGTGTGCGATATTGTTGACTTCAACTTTGATTATCTATGAGACTGTGGCCTCTTCCCACTTGTTTAAGTGTCTTGGTAACTCTGAGTGGAAAAACGTCAAACCAAAGTGCTTTTTTCCATTCTCTCACTCAACAACGATCACCACAAAAGACTTCTGTGACCAAATGTGGAGTGGGTTTTCCCCACATATGAAGCAAGCAAGCAATTCTATAGCAGACACCAGCCATGTGTCCTCTGAATTCAATTCAATTCTGACAGTATCTACCTGGAGATAGCTTCTGATCCTACAGGTTGAGGGCTCAGTCTCCAAGACTGTCCCCCACCTTCAGATGTCAGTCACAAGTCCAGCTTCCAGAACTTCTGACCAATCTGCTTCCAGTTGACGTTCCTACAACCCCTTTGAGTTTGATTAATTTGCTACAGTGGCTCACAGAACTCAGGGAAACATGTTTACTGTTTTATTATAAAGGATATTACAAAGGGTACAGAGGACGAGGTGCATAGGGCAAGGGATGTGAGAAGGGGCATGGAGCTTTCATGCCCTCCCCAGGCATGCCATTCTCAAGGAACCTCCAGTTGTGCAGATATCCAGAAGCTCCCAGAACTCGGTCCTTTTGAGTTTTTATGGAGGCTTCATTATGTAGGCACAATTGATTAAATCATTGGCCACTGGTGATCAATTCAACCTTCAGCCCCTTGCCTCATCCCCTCCCTGGAGGCTGGGGGTGGGGCTGAAAATCCCAACCCTCTAATCCTTCCATGGTCTTTCCTGTGACCAACCCCATCCTGAAGCTACCTAAGGGCTGCCAGCCATCAATCATTGGCATCAAAGAACATCACTCTGGAGATTCTAAGAGTTTTTAAAGTTGGATGCCAGGAAACTGGGATGAAGATCAAATATATATTTCATGATATCACAGTTACCTCATACATCTCATGGTTTAGGGTCTGCACAAGGACATTTTCTCTTGTCTGGTCAATGTAGATCACAGGCCTCTCCAGCTTCACTCGGTCTCCAAGGAGGTCCATGATCCGCTCGCTCACTTGACCAGATCCGCCCACAAATTTCCTCTCCTGGAAAGAGAAAAGGAGGTGAAAGAGAAATGCAGAGATGGGCATAAGTTGCTAAATTGCTAGTTGTCTTCACATATCTCTACTCTGAGATGTCTAACATTTCATTTTGAGGCTGTGAATAGTGGCTTTCACCATGGTTTTCTAACTAGGAATTGCTGTCTTTAGACAAAATTACAGGATTTCTAAGTTACTTTACAAGCTATGCTCTTGTAGATTCCCAGGCTCCAACCTTAGCTGGACATCTTCAGAATGACCCCTATGTCCCATCTTTCTGGTCACCATCCCTGCTGTCTGTCCTATCTGCAGTCTTTTGTTGGGAGCTGGACCTGGTGAAGCTGTACCTAAAGCTCTTCCCTAGCTTGCCTGAGCAGACCTAAGCCTGATTTCCCTTGCTCTGTGGCTCAAGCACAGAACTTCCCTGCCTCCCACCATGTCCCTTTACCCCAGACCAGCCTACTCTCTGTTGCAGGCTGCCCATCTTATCCTGGGTCAGATGCCTGCTGCCTCTGTAGCCACCGAAGTCATTTCACCTCACTGTACCCACCTGCCCTGAGTCTTGCTAAAACTTCCAAATGTTCTACCTGGCTATGCACACAGTTGACCTGACTGCCTATTCCTTAATTTTCAGTTAAGGTTAGAGAAGGAGAAGGAGAGGGAGAAAGAGAAAAGGAGGAGGAGAAAGAGGAGGAGGAGGAGGAGAAGAGAGAGAAAGAAGAGGAGGAGGGAGAGAGAGAAGAACAGAACATGACAACCAAGCAGATTATCTAAGAACTCCAATCTGTTCCTACTGTGTCTAGCACAGTGCCTTATACAGTGCTGGGGCTCAAGAAATGGGCATTGAATGAACGAATAGATCAATGAATTCCATGCATAGTATGTGTTTTAAATTGAAAATGCATTTCTGACTTTCCTTTATAAACTTTCCAAGAAGTGCTCAAGATAAGCTTACTTCAGATGGTCTCCTACAAACTTACCAAATAATAATTGAGTGTATGGAAAATGGCAACAGTGCATAAAGAGAGACAAGTCTAGTTTTAAAATTACATTGGAAACTGGGTTCTCACAGTGGGTACCTGACAACAGACTGTGCCTTACAAGAAACACTTTGAGCTGCCATGGTAATGCTCTAAAAGCCACAAGCCTGCTTCCCACTTCAGCAGTTCATGATTGAAGGATGATACTGATCTTTCATTTCAGTAGCAGTGTTTTTCCATTGGGACGGTGGGGGAGTGGATGGATACCTGTCCTCCATTCGTTGTCGAGATGATTCTGGTTGTGCCTCCACACTGCTTCACATACCACAGGAACCAGAGAGCAGAGACCTCATGGGTCTCTGCAGTGACACACAGGTTCACAAAGAGAGTGCCAAGCTGCTTTGCAGATCTGCACAGGAAGAAACAAGAGCAAAATTGGCAAATGCAGGAGAGCAGCTTCTTAATTCTCTAAAAATTATTTGAGTAATACATTTTCTTGGTTAAGTTTAGCACAATGTGGTAAGGTCAAAAAATTGTCACTAGAATCTAATATTACAAAACATGACATCAGAGGCTTTTGAAATATCATATTATTTTCCCTGTAAACAAAACACCTTACTCAGAATCAGCTTGTATTCCAGATTCTGTGCTTTCATGATTTCTCCCTACATTCCTGCTGCTCTTCCAGTGATCCCCATCTCAGTAAAAAGCACCACCATTTACTCAATGGCAAAAGCCAACACTCTAGAAATCAAACATTATTCCTCTCTTTGCATCGATCTTCCCCCATCCAATTCATTGGGAAGTCCCATTATCTCTCACCACATCACTCCACCTTCACCACAAATTTAGCATCCATCTCTTTCCAGGAGTACTGCAATTACTTCCTCCAGACTGGCCTCTCTGCCTCCATTCATCCTCACCTGGTATCTGTTCACCACACTCAAAACCGGAGGCTTTTCCCTCCCTCCCTACCATGGTGCTCTCTCTGAAGTGTAAATCAAATCATGTCATTTTCTTGCTTAAAAAAATCTCCATTGTTATCCTATTAAAACCAGAATAAGATTCAGATCTTACACCATGGCTTCCAGAGCCCTATGTAATCTAGCCCATGCCTACCTTTTCTGCCTCATCTTGTACCCTCTTCTTTTTACTCTAATGTTTCCTTAGAAAGACATATTCTCAATTGTCTATGAAAATGACCACTGGTTTCCATATTCCCAGCACCCTGACATTCTCTATCATTTTGCTACTGTATAGTATCTTTATAACTCTTTTCACTGTCTGAAATGGTCTTGATTATTGGTTTATTCTTTTTAATTGCTGTCTCCCCCGACTAGAATATCAACCTATGAGAACAAAGATCTTATGTTTGTCACTCACCATAGTGTCCCCGTTAACAAATGCCTGGAACACTGTAAGCACTCAATAATTACTTGTTGCATGATTGAACAAATGAATGATTGATGAGAAATATCAGTTAAACAGTATTTTTTAAACATCCATAACGTGCAAAGGATATGCTAGATGCTGTACCAAACACAAAATTAGTCACAGTTATCTATTCAGTTATTTTACTGCCTAACAGAAGACAAGCTCAAATAATGGATGAGGGGACAAGCAATTCATAGAGCATAAATGAGTAAGCTTTTGCTTGACATTGGCAGGTAAATGGTGAGAGGTTATCACCTATCAGGAAGCACATCAGAAAGCAAATAATCTCATCCAATTTCAAGGACTCCATTATATCTAGCACATCCTAAAATTCATCAGTAGTAATGTGCACTCTGGGATATCTTTAATAAGGTCCAATCCCCCTTTTGACTTTGACATGAAGTTTGCATATTGTTAATCTTGTTATTTCTGAGGCAGAATTTTCCATCTGGTAATGTTGACAATGGGTGAAATAAATGATACTGTCTTCCATTTATTGAGCTCTTTCCATACTCCATTGTCTTTAAAATCACTATCTTGTTAAATTGTTGCAACAACCACATCAAATATCTATTATTTTTCCAAGTTCACATGCTAGAAAACGGAGTCTCGGACAGTTTAGGAGTACATAATGGCACAACTTCAAACCAGATCATACTTGACTCAAAACTCATGCTTTTGATACCCCAAAATGTTTTCTAATTAGTCAGCTGACAGCCTTGGAAGTACAAATGCTCGCCAAGGGGCATCTCTCTACTTTACTGTATCTTGACCCTAGAAGTTTGTAGAATCGTGCCTAACACACATATCAGTTATTGACATTATTTGCAGCCGTAACAACCTGACAGCCCATCTATGACAGTCCCCATCATTATAGCCTGTGAAATGGTGTCATATATACATTAAAGTGACTTACAGTTAGTTTTGTAAGATTTCTCAGGATAATTGAAGGGATGGAAATTGTTAACTCATGACTTCCTTGCGGAGGCAATTTGTAATATCTAACTAAAACAAATATCCAGAAGTCAATTTAAAATAAAAGTAGTATTTTATTTGCTGCTTCCTAAAATCCAATTTCTTTTGTTCCTTATTTTTTAAGTGGATTGAGGGGCATACAGTAAAGGGGGTAATAAATAACTGAAACTTAACATTGGCCCAGCTGGAGAGCCAATATTTAACAAAAATATTGCTGGAATTCTAGTTGTTATTGTTGCCAATTTGGTGGGAAAGAAATAATTTTGGTTTGAACTAAAGGGAGATCTAAAAGTAATTCTGAAGGGCCAGTCTCTTCCTAATCCTTTATTTGAATTTACTCTAGGAGTTTCAGTAAGAAAAGAAATAAGAACAATATTTGAAGGATGGAAGGTCAAGGAAGTTAGTGCAATACTATTTCTGAATTTTTTGCCCTGTTGACTTTTTAAAAGATAAATCTTATAATATTTTTCTACATGAAAAATACATACACATTATATAAAATTTGGAAAATTTTTAAGATAAAAAGATGAGAGAATGAGTATCTTCCACATTTCTGCCCCTCCAGAAGATAATTACTAGTCTCATTTTGATGCATTTTTTTCTAAGTATAGGTCTTTTTAAAAATGTTTTTACATAGCTGTGATCACATTGAAAATACAGTTCATGTTTGTGAAGTGCACTTTGTAAACGACAATAACTGAAAGAATAATCAACATTAGTCTTGGAATGTATGATTGTGCTTTGGTCTGAATAATAATAGACTGGATATTCTGGGGATTACTTCATTTAAATCCAGGAAATAATACTGTGTGTATCTTGCTTGGGAAGAGTTAGAAAATTGTCTTGTGTTCTTATACTCCTAGTATCTCAGAATGCTTTATTTTGTCAAATGACAACTTAGACTATTCACTAAGTGGAGGACTGGGCCAAGGGCTATGATAGAAAATGTCAAGTTCCTGTGATCCCAAAGACATACGATTGATTTTATCACCAAGAAACTTAAAAGTTCTCTAAGGAGAAAAGAACTAACTGAATTTATTAAAAGCTTTTCATAACAGGAGTTATAAAAAAATTCAGATAATTATATACTTATTATATTTTGAAAATCTAAAGTATATAATTTAAAACTAAATACTACAATTTTATTACAATTAAAATAAATTATATTGCACACTACATTCTCATAGAAGTGTTAGATAGCATTAGATAAATGTTTAAAAGAATATAATTAATAACAGGCATTCATTTCATGACATAAAAGGATTTTACTCTTCCAAAATTGGTTGCTTTCAAAGGTTGAAGACATAGGAGAGGCACAAAGATGTTTATTATAGAGTATTGTATAATAAAAATAATAATAATAACAAAAAACAGAAAGTACCCAATGTGTTGAACAGGATGTTAATGGACAAATACATTACGTATTCATTTTCCATGGAATATTCTGGTACCATGAAATATGATGTTTAAAGAATAATTTTTAATGATGTAAAGTTTTTAAGCATTTTAAAAATAAATGCTTGCATAGTAATATTAAACGTTAAAAATATTTCAATGGATGTCCGCTGCTTTTGCAGTGCATATATAAATAATTGCTTTTAGAAATGAGATCATATACCATACCACAACAGCCTGCTTTTCTATGTGCTTAATATTACTATTTTTTCCAGTCATTAAATATTCCTCTACAACACGATTTTTTAAAACCCTCGAGTATTGAATTTTTTAGATGTTCCATACTTGATTCTGCCGATTTATTATTGGGTTTTCCGATCCTCTCTTTTAAAAATAATGCTTTGGATCTGCCTCTTTCACTCTTTCTCCCTCTCTCCTTCTCTCCCTGTATGCCTCTCTCTTCTTTTGTCTCACGTTCTTAAAGCTAAATTATTAGAAGCTGAATTTTTATATCAAAAAGTATATGAATTTTATGTATTTTGATTATTTCCATTTTTTAGATTCAGATATTCTAAAAGCTTGTTTTTACTTTTAGTTGGCAGTGAATGATGCCTAAAAATGAAGACATTAACCCCACAGCCAAACATATTCTCAACTAACGCTCTTCAGCAAGGCAGGGCAGTCTCCTTGAATTTGGCTTCCATTTTTCTTGTTTTGTTTACCACAAATTTACCATGTGCTTGGATTGGAACCCTCATAATCCTTTCCATTTTCCCTGCTGTCCAAGAGCAGTGCAGCCTCTCCACGTGGTCTGTCTATACAAGCCTTCACAATTTCTCTACAATTCCTAGTTCTGCCAACAAGAATTTAATGCTTAACTCATGGGTACTTGTTTTTTCACTAAAGGGGAACAGCCAGTCCAGTCACACATGCTTCCCCTGTAGTTGTGAACTATCTACAAAGGCTTTAGAGGTTCCTCTTTAAGTCCTTGAAGAGTTGCACTACATCACACAAGGTATGGCAAATGCACACGCTAACCATCTCCACATTTGACCACCAGTGAAGAATACAAAAATTGTCCTATATTAACAACTTCATAAGTGAGAGCTTTAAGCTGATGGTCTTTAAGCTGTTTTATATAAAGAAACTAGTACCTTCTGGTCTGTTCTGAGGACTTCACAGGGTAATACTACCTTTGTGATACAAAACTATTCCAAAGAAGTAAGTTGTATGTACAGATATCTTCAGGGTAGGAGCCAATTCCAATGGTTTTCAGCATTCTACTTGGCTGGTGGTGTGGTTTTAGACACAAAGCAGCTACTTGTTCCATACTTGTTGAATGGTATTGCTAAATGAACCTGAAAGGTGGTCACAATAAATGCCTGTGCCTAATGGCAAGACTTACTCAGTCCAGCAGACCTTGTCCAGCAGCTCCTTCATTGTCATGTTGTCCCACTCTTCTGCAAGGGGAGCCTTCCATGGGGCATCACTGGGAATCTACATTCAGATGAGGATTCGAAGGAGAAAGACAAATTCAATTTTCTATTTTATTTTATTTATTTTTGTAATTTTCCATTTTAAATAACTATTCAAATAGTATTAAAAACTCTACCTTAAAGAGGAAAAATGTTAAGTTTTCCAAATTCATCCAATATTGTTTTTACTGCATAATCAATGCTGTCTATGTAGCTTTCCTATTATAAATCTGTACCACTCAAGCCATATTTAATTTGTGATAAAACTTCCTGCACAATAAATAGAGGCATGTTGTAACTGGGCTATTTCTAGATATGGATTCCTAAGTTACTAACTTCTAGAGAACATTCATAAATTTAACTCTTTAACAAGGATCACAGAGCTGCAGCAAATCATGTCTATGGAGCTTTCAGTTAAGCTTTATGTGTGTTCAGGAACAGAAAACCAAACACCACATGTTCTCACTCATAAGTGGGAGTTGAACAATGAGAACATATGGACACAGGGAGGGGAACATCACACACTAGGGCCTGTTGATGAGTGGGGGGCAAGGGGAGGGAAAGCATTAGCACAAATACCTAATGCATGTGGGGCTTAAAACCTAGATGATGGGTTGATAGGTGCAGCAAACCACCATGGCACATGTATACCTATGTAACAAACCTGCACGTTCTGCACATGTATCCTGGAACTTAAAGTAAAAGAAAAAAAAAATGCTTTATGTGTGATTACTTATGACTTGTTTGGGCATGGTGGTGAATCAAAGACCCAGAAGTCTAATTTTGCTATGTACCAAAGATTTCCAAAATTTGAAACATCTTTCCAAGAAGGCTGAGTGGCACCCAATCTCCTGCCCACTCATCATTAGTATACAAATATCAATCTGTTTGACATCTTATTATTGCAGAGGTTAGAAACAAGTTCATTCATTCATTTCACAAATCTTTACTGCTACCGTGTGCTCACAATGTGCTAAGTGTTGGAGATATATTGTACTTTCTTTCTTTGAAGGACTAAACGTATTACAAAACAAAAAATACAAATATAGTCAAAGAAGCTTTACCTCTCGCCCCATATCATCCATTGTCCTCCAAAAGTTGTTATGATCTAAGTAGGTAATTGGATTCCATACAGGTGGGAACGGCCCCCTGAAGGGGTATGATTTGCCCTGTGAGATATAAGATATTTTAAAAAGGAAATATTTACTACAATGTAAAAGTAGGTAATCTGCCAAATTGGTAAATGTCTGCAAGCAAAATCATGTGAGTTATCAATATGTGATACACACTCAACTTTTTAGCTCCTTGTGTCCTCAGAACCCCACTTAACGTTTTAGCATAGAGATTTCCATCAAAATTCTGTGTTAATTAAGTTCACTGCCACACCAAGCACGGTAAAGAGGTTTCTCTCTGAAATTGGAGCCCTTAGCATATAAAATTTAAATACCAGTACATAAGTGGAGTTAACCTAAGGAAATCTTGTTTGCCAATGGTACTTGCAAATATCTCAGAGTCAGGAGCCTCTGTGTGCCTGGAGAGTCAGAAAATTATAACTGTAAGCATTATACAACTTAGAAGGGGATGAAAAATCAATCACGAGAATGCAACCATCTGTTAGAAGAACCACAAAACAGGGCCCAGAAAGCTTTCCCAAGGACTCAGATGTGCTAGGTAAACACAGGAGTTCCCAGAGACCAGCAAAGTCAAAGCAGAAAGATTAGACAACTTCAAGCTTCTCTTCCAGACATGTTTACACCACCTGGTTCTTCCCACAGGGATACCTCGACACAGAAGTAAAGGGAACACATCATTCCAAGGATTAAAAATAAATAATCTCTGGGAGGATTAACCTGCTGATGGCACTTAAGAGACATACACAAAAATCACTTTGGGTCAATCTGAAAACCCAAGTCAGAAGCCAGGCTGTGCATTCTGACAGCATCTTTCAACCGAATCAGAATAACTTAAAGTTGTCAGTCAACAAAAACTTCCGCAAAACTCTGAGTCATTCAACAAAGATGCATCTTCTGTTGATGTTGTAGGCAGAGAAACTAGAATTGTGTAATAAGAGATTTCATATTTGTTCTTGTATTAATTCTGTGGCCATGTTGGTCTTCTCTCTCCAACAAGGCCATAAGATTCTCAGGGAAGGGTTGAGATACAGCTTTTTGTTTCTTCTCAGCCAGGATTCCTTAGAGAAACAGAACCAACAGGAGATAGATAGATAGATAGATACATACATACATACATACATAGGTAGAAACTACATAGACATATACACATAGATAGATGATATAGACATAGATATAGATAGATAGAGAGAGACAGAAACAGAGAAAGAAACAGAGACAGAGAGAAGGATTCAGATTTATTTTAAGGAATTAGCTTATGTTGTTTGAGAGGGATGGCAAGTCCAAAATCTGTAGGGTAGGTCACGGACCCAGGGAAGAGTTGCAGTTTGACTTCAAAGGCAGTCTGCTGGCAGAATTCCCTCTTTTCCTGGGAGACATCAATCTTTTTCTCTTAAGGACTTCAACTGATTGGAGAAGGTCCATTCACATTATGGAAGGTAATCTGCTTTGCTCCAAGTCTACTGATTTAAATGTTAGCCTTATCTTAAAAATAGCTTGACAGAAACATTAGAATAATGTTTGTCCAAATATCTAGACAAGTTGACATAAAAAATTAACTGCCACCCTTCTTAATTAACACTATTGAGGTGTACTTTACATACAATGTACTCATTTTATTTTAGTTTAGTTTCCATATTTTTTATAGTTAAAAGTTATTTTAAAATTTTAACCTGCCATTAAAACTGTATATATTTATAATATACAACATAATATTTTGAAATATGTATACCCTGTGGAATGGTTAAACTGAGCTAATTCCATATGCATTACCTTACATACCTATCATTTTGGGAGGTGAGAACACATAAAATCTATTCTCTTAGCAATTTTCAAGACTACAATACATTGTTTTTAACTAAAGTTACTATGTTGTACAATAGATCTCTTGAACTTATTTCTCCTATCTAACTAAAATTTTGTATCCTTTGACCAATATCTCCTCAACAATGTACCCACATTAAATAATTTAACATGCAATTTGGGGAGTTATGACACATGTATACACCTATGTAACTACCACTCCAATCAAGATATAAAACATTCCTATCACTCCAGAAAGTTCCCTCTTTCCCCTTCCTAGACAATCCCTGTCCCCTTTCTGGCCCTGGGCAATCACTGTTCAGTTTTCTGTCACTATAGATTGTTTTTGCCTGTTTTCACATTTTTTAATGGACTCATACAAGATGTACACCTTTGTATCTGGCGTCTTTTGCTCAGCATGATATTTCTGAGGTTTGTCCAAGTTTCCGTTTGTTCCTCTTTATTGCTAAGTAGTAGTCCATTGTATGGATGTACCATGGTTTGTTTCACCTGTTGATAACTATTTCTAGTTTTGATCTGCTGTGAATAAAACTGCTATAAACATTCTTGTACAGGTCTTTTTGTGTACATATATTTTTTCTTCTCTTGGGTAAATGCCCAGTAGGGGAATGGCTGAGTCACATGGTGGGTGTATGTTTAACTTTTTAAGTTTAATAGTGTTCCAAAGTTGTTGCACTGCTTTACATTACCAACAGCAATGCATGAAAGTTCTAGTTGATCAGCATACTGACACTTGCTGACTTTTCTTTTATGCTTTATGTTTTAAATATAGTTTCTATTTATTTTACACATTTTTACAAAGTAATTTGTTTTACAAATTTTTACAAAATAACTTTGTTTTACAAAGTAATATTTGTTTTACAAAAAAAGTTGCAAAGACAGTACAGAAAGTTCCCATATACCTTTCACCTAGTTTTCTCTAATGTTAGCATCTTACATTACATGGTACATTGACCAAGACCAGGAGATCGACACTGGTAGATCACTATATACTAAACTTCAGATTTTATTTGGATTTCACCCATTTATCCACTAAACATTCTTTTTCTGTTGCAGGATCCCATCCAGGATATCACATTTCATTTAGTTGTCCTGTCTTCTTAGTGTCTTATGGTCTGTGATAGTTTCTCAGTAGTCCCTCATTTTTCATAACCTTCGAAGTTTGAAGAATGCTGGTCAGTTATCTGGTAGAATATCCCTTAATTTGGATCTGTCTGAAGTTACATTTTTTTTTCATTTTTAGATTGGGACTATGAATTTTGGGGAAGACTACCACAAAGACCAAGTGCTCTTTTCATCATGTCACCTCAGAGGGCACGTGATATCAACATGACCTATCACGGATGATGTTAACCTTGATTCCTTGCTTAGGGTGGTGTCTGTCAGGTCTCTCTACTGTACAGTTGCTATTCACCCCTCTTCTATGCTCTGTTCTTTGGAAGAGAGTCATTAAGTTCAGAACATCCTCAAGAGGGGATGGTGGGAGCTAACCTCCACTTTCTGGAGATGGAGAAACCCCACAAATTTTTTGAATTCTTTTCTAAGGAAGGTTTTCCTCTTTTCCCCCTTTACTTGCTTATTCAATCATTTATTTATAATAGTGGACATATATATGTGTGTTTCATACCTTGTGTTATAATCCAACACTATATTATTTATTTGTTGCTCAAATTATTCTACTTCTGAGCACTCCTTCAGGTCGGCTCCCCGTGTCCCTTTGACATGCCCCCATCCTTTTGTCTGTTGAGCATTTATTTTCATTTCTGGCACTAGAAGATTCTCCAGACTCATCTTCTGTTTTTTCTGCCCAAGTCCTAGGATCTGTCATTTGTCCAAGAAGCCTTTCCTTTTATCAAGAGAGTGGTATTTAGAAGCAACTTCTGGCTGCTGAGTGCAAGCTGATTTTGTTTTATAATCAGCTTTATTGAGAAATAATTCATGTTCCATACAACTTGCATGCTGACCTGAAAACCTCCACTTATCCCTCCTCCATTAGAGTTCAATACATAAAACTTGCTCAGCAGAAACCTGTGGATTGATCCAGGGACCATTCTCCACGAAGAAGAAGTCAATCCCCATTCTAGCTCTGCCTCGCCTAAGATGACTGACACAGAGTAAGACAGTTGCTTAATCTTCCAGGTCCCAGATATCAGTCTTTGTAATTCAACATCTATTGACTCCATTGTCTTCTTCCAGGAAGTATGCCCAGATTACCATAAACAGTTGGGTTAGGTGGTCTTCTCAGTGTCCCAGAGCTCTCTGTTTCTCTTTCATCTGCCACTAACTCCACTGCACCAGTTTCATGCATTTACTACTCTACCTCATTCATTGGGCCCTATGCTGCAAGAGCATGGGCTCTGGAACCAGTCTCCCTGGGTTGAGTCATGGTCTGCCACTCACTAGCTGTGTTAAGTTGCTTAACTTCTCTGTGCTTCAGTTAACTCAGTAGTGAAATGTGATCATAGTAACTATCTTGGAGGCATGTTAGAAAGATGAAGTGTGTTGATACATGTAAGTCACTTTGAACAGTGGCTGGCATGTTGTAAGTTCTCAATCAATATTATTACCGCAGCTGCTACCATTGTAATTATAATCTTTGTATGCTTAGGACGTGCTGGCAGAGACTGCTGGCACACAGTAGGTTCACAACGCATGCTTGATATAATTTCAGCTGTGTGACCTTGAACTTGTCATTTATTTGACACACAATGTCCCAATTTCTAAACTGATCTTTTGTACTTTGGTTCCTTATGTTATAACTATCTATCCTACTTGTTTTAAATCTCCCCCTTGAACCCAAACCCACTCTGGTCTCTGCAGATTCCTATCAACCGAGTAGTGCCCAACCCTGCCCCCTCAACACAATGCACTTGTACAAAGGGGGTGTGGGATGGAACTTAAATAGCAAAGAACCAAATCAAGCTGCACACTGAGAGCAATGTGCATCTATGACTGGTGTACAAAGTCATCCTTCTGGACTATCAGTATGGCATTGTGCCCACAAAGAGATAAAACCATAAGCAATTGAATAGCCACACCGTAAGTGGGAAGAACAGCATAGTTTTGCTTGAACATCCATTAATAAAAAGATAGAGAGGAAGAAATCAGTGTTCAGCCAAACAATTAAATTATTTAGGTTTTTTTTTGTTTGCTTGTGCTTGTTTTCATAAACACATCGGTTCAGTCAGAAATCACCAACAGATGACTTGAAGAAG